ACAATCAAGCAACAACAACTCCTCAACTTTGATTGTCACTGTGCAAATGGAGGAACAAGGGTATAAACTCTGCTCACATTCCTGGTAGTCAATTACTGATTGCCTCTTTACAGTCTCCTTTTATCCACCCTTTGCATGCCAATCATGCAGGCTCCTATTATCAGAATATCTGGTGGTGTGACATGGTTCTGGGGTCTCTAAAGGGACCCCTCAATAACCAGGGGGTAGTTAGTGAAATGACCTCATCAAAGACCAATACAGCATCACTAACTAACAGAACTGATGTGCTGAAGATTTCTCATTACATTTTTACAGCAGCTTCACAAGTCAAGATCACAATCAGATGGTGCCCGGGCAACAATGGTATACCAGGCAACAAAAAGCACTGCCAAGATATTTGTATCGGATGGGCCTATCCGATGTTCTATCACCCCAAGATATGCGATGCAGTGTCAGTAGGATTAGGTGCGATGGAATTACTATTGGTATCTAATGCTCCGACACCATATTGCAGTGTAATTCCATTGCACCTAATCCTACTGACACTGCATCGCATATCTTGGGGTGATAGAACATCGGATAGGCCCATCCGATACAAATATCTTGGCAGTGTGTCTATGCGATGCAGTGTCAGTAGGATTAGGTGCAATGGAATTACACTGCAATATGGTGTCAGAGCATTAGATACCGATAGTAATTCCATCGCACCTAATCCTACTGACACTGCATCGCATATCTTGGGGTGATAGAACATCGGATAGGCCCATCCGATACAAATATCTTGGCAGTGTGTCTCAGAATAAACATGGGGCAGAAAAAACATTATAAGCTAATTTTTTCAGCAATACAAATAATTTGTGTTTGGAAAGATATTTAAAGTACAAACTTCCCTGTGTCTTTACTATTTTTTTTTTTTTTTGGGGGGGGGAAACTGAAAAAAAAAAAAAAAAAAAACTTAGAAAGAAAGCTGGTTAAATACATTGAAAGACTATTCTTCCAAAGGGGGGGGGAATTGGAGGCAAAAAACAACTTGGTATTAAGAATCAGAAAACTAATTATACTTCTCAAGCCAAATTTTCAAATATTTTTGCTTAGAAAGCTTCCTGATTTCATTCATTCAAACTTCATCAATTTGGCCAAAGCCAAAAAATTTGAGTTGGATGAGTGCCTCCAACTCAACATCAGATGTGCTCATCCAAAACAACTATGCTCATTTCCAAAGGGGACACCTTGGAGACAACCCCACCAACAAATTTGAGTCTGATGAACTTAACATTGGATGGGTTAATCTGACTCATTATGGTCATATCCAAGGGGGTGGGGGGGGAACCTTGGATAAGAGCATGGTTGAGTTGGATGATCACATCTGATGTTGGGTTGGACACATTTTAGTACACAGAAGCTGTTAGAAGATATGTAATGGGCTGTCAATAAGGGAATCAGTAAGAAGGAAGCATGAGATAGTTATTGGAGATATATTGTGTCACCTATAGTGTCAGCCCCTGAGTACTTGAGAAGTACCATGGAGCTACAAAGGTTGTTATGAATATATTCTTACTACACCTCATAGCTCAGTTTCAAGAGCTGTAACTAAGAATTCACTGTAAAACTGAATTAAAGTTGTATATTACAGCATGAGTACATGTAGAGTAACCTGCTGTAAACCATAAACTCAAACTGTAATGATATACAAGAGGTTATGTACTAGCTCCAACAAGACATTGTAAACTTTTGCCTTGTAATGAGTGTATGCTCATAAAGGATAAAGGGTAAGAATGCAAAAGATGGATCTGACCTCCTCTACAGGAGGAGGAGAATCTGCATCATTAAAATAAACTTCTACTGTCTGAATAACTATAAAAGATATTCTGGACTTTCCACTTATTAGAGAAATACTAATCACCAACTACTACAAGTAGCCTGTTGATCTATTCTCATCTCAAGAAATTCTTCATCTTTTGTATTCAGAACTTTCTTTATTTCTTTGGTCTGTTGAGGTGCAAAGCTAGAGTGTCAGCCCTTGAGATCTTACCTACTAGTAAGATCCATAAGATTTTCACTTTAGTTTCATTAAAAGAGAGTACAAAACAAATACATATAATTACAACACCTTTAAGTCTAGTGTCAAAGACTCAAATTCATAGTAAATAGATAAAAAATCTCATATAAATCTTACAAGCCTAGTATCTAAGGCTTGAAAAATATTACAATAACTAGTTTGAAACAAACCAGTCCAACTACACCACCAGCAAAAATTACTCGGACAAGGCTGTCTGAGAACACCTCGGACAGCTTTGTCTGAGTAATTTTTGCTGGCGGTGCTACAGTAGTAGAAGGATGACTAACCTAAGAGAAAGAAGGAGCACTGTTCATTTACCCATCCAACATGGTAACAAGGGTGCAGGCTTGATCACTAAGAGTAAAAGCCTCATGAACCTTTTAAGTCTGGACTAGTTGATCCAAAGAAAACCAGGTTGAATAGATTTACTATGCCACTCTGTATTTATTAAACTAATCCAGTCAAAAATCTTCTCAAGTATGAAGATTCCCACTAAACACCCTTACTACCTGGGTCATTAAAAGTACCCAGAGGGCTGTAAGATTACCCTGAAGACAAGATACAGGTATTTATGTTTCCAGGACCCAGTAAACCCTGAATCATGATTGTACACAAGAATTCAGACCAGCAAAGTGCAAGAAATCCAAGTGGACTACTTCAAATAAACCAACCTTTAGTTTAGCTATATATAGAGAAGCTATCTACACTGCCAAGATATTTGTATCGGATGGGCCTATCCGATGTTCTATCACCCCAAGATATGCGATGCAGTGTCAGTAGGATTAGGTGCGATGGAATT